CGGGGCTGGGCGCACTGCTTCAATTGGAATCAGGGGGAACTTGAAGGTGAGGTAAAGTGGAGCAGCCTATTCCGGAATATCTCAGCCGTAGTGGCAGGAGCTTCTCTGCACCTATATGCTCTCCACGCATTCACAAAAACCTTGAATTTGTGCACGACTACCGCATGCTATTTGTTTACTGATGTTAAGGGGCGTTTTTGCGCCAAATTTAAACAAAAATGGAACAATCTGCTGCTGGTTTCAGTGGATGATGTAGCATTAGAGGGATCTGGGTTAAGAAATTACTTCGAGTATCACACGACATTTCTTGAGTTCAAAGTTCTCCTAACACAAGAAAATCGGGGAGAAGGCATCTTCCTGCCACTAGCTAGCCGACTCCACTGGACGCATTTCTCATTTCTCCCTTTCACTTGAAACTAAGTTGTCAACAAGACTGATCAGGAGTAGCTAAGCCATTTGGGTGCCAGGAATGAACTGACGGAAGTTGATGTCACGACATCCTGCTTATCCTTCGCCACCGTTACCCAACCACCCAACCGCCTCCGCATACTCTTGCCGCTTGTAACTCTCTTCAAGGCACGGCAAGTTTACACAACCAGTGCCACACATCTAAGAAAACGTTAAACACGTGGATAAAATCTACAAGCCGTCCATCTTCTCCATCCCGACTGGCAATATGATTAACTTATAGGCTCCTACCATTAAAGGAACGGCTGCTGCACGGTCGAGGAAGGTGAGAGGCTACACTACACTCATGACAACATCCAGATCCGGAGAGGCGAATATCGTTGATGTTGACAAGTATGTGGGAGCCATTTCTCAGGTCTACTTACAATGCATCATTTTTGAAGTTATTTGAATAACTTTGGCAGTTTCGACTGCCTTCTGTGGTTTTGGAACTCACTTTGGCCCATTTCCTCTTGAGATACAGCCCAAACAAATTTGATTGGTAGGAGAGGGGATGAAATGAGGATGGCTCAGTGTGGAAACAGTCTTGAGCTGAGGTGACAGCCAATTAACTGGACTTGTCGATCATCATCCCTCCAGTGACCAATCTTCTCCTTCTCCCATAAAACCTCTACACTGAAGAGTGGTTCTTTTTTTACACCTCTTTCGCATAGCAGCAGCACACTACGACAAAGCACATGGAAAGCAAAGCCACTGTCTCAAATCCCACGGTTCCAGTTTGTACAACCAATACGCATGGTTCCAGTGTCCTTGACAAGGTCGACCCACTCACGAATGCGGTTCAGATCTCTCTCACACAATACACCCTTGGCATCAGCCAGCGTGGTGACTACCGCATCTCCCTCCACGGCAAAACACTTGTGAGGCAATGCGGATGTCAGAGCCTCGGAGAAAGGAAGGTGAACTTTGACTGCCTCGTCACAAGGTGTGTTCGCTGAGTCCTTTTCGCCCTCCTCTGCAAACCGACTGTACTTGCTTTGGTCTAACAGACGCTGGCATTCCTCCACGGAAACCCAGGCATACGTCTCAGGGCAGGCGAGCCAGGAGGGCGAGTATTCAGCCTTGTAGTTCATCTTGGTGCAGGAGTGGACATAGTGCCCCAGGGAGTAATACGTAAAGTCGGCATAGGCGGGCACCATCGCTCCGTAGGTTCGATGGAGGTGTCGAACAAAGGCAATTTCTCTACAACAAAAGCCACCCCAACTATGCTGGTGAGCAGCATCATCACCTCTTCAATGAGGCATTTCGACGTGGACTTAAACGAACCTAAGAGCAGAGTACGTGCCCAAATTGAGGCATGTGTATTGAGGGTCGAAGAAGAAGTAGACAGAAGAAAGGTAACCGGGAAGTAAATCCACCACTCCGACAGCAATCAGCCTACTTTCATCCAGCCAGTACTGTTGGTGGTAGGAGCCGAATTGTGGGGCGCCGGCGGCTTCCGCTGCCGCATCGTGTGCATTCTGCAGTCGGGTGGAGCCACAGAGTTGTTAGTACGAAGAGTTTGTTTGATGTGTTGCAAAGCAACTCGCAGAGCTGGACCTACCACAAGAGTGGACTCAACAATGGATTTCTCGAATGCCTCACGAGTTATGCTGTCCGGCGATGCTTTGTGAACACTGACCTGGTAGTTGTGGTACAGTTTGTACTCCTCATCCAGAGTCTTACTGAGGTCTGAGGAGAGAGGCGCACTTCTGTAAGACCGTATCTATTCAAGGCGACATGGATGGGCTTACTAGTGGAAGCGACAAGCCAGCAAAAGACAAATTTAACTTACCTCCAACCTGTGCACATCGTTTTCTCTCCATTCCACCTCTTTTAGGTACTCTTCAAGCTCCTTCGGCTTGTACTTTTCAATTCGAAGCTTTCGACTCTGCACATGGGCCTCCATGAGCTCCGCCAAGGATTCACCAGTCCTGCCAGCACGTTGAGCCATGCGTTCCTGTCGAGCCTCCCATCGTCTCTGTTTGGCACTTACCCCTCGTCCAGGTGTCAGAGGTGCAGCTTCACACTCAATTTTGCCCGATTCTTTAGTTTCGGTTCCCTCAACTGACTTCCGGCTACTGCCGCAGGCTTTGTGCACATCCCGTGATGTCTCAGCATAGTCCGGTTTTTCGCCTGCCCTCAGAAAGTTGGCTACAAGACGTATTGCCTTCTTTTGTGCCTTCGAGATCCTAAAATGCTGCGTGTCACACCTGATTGGGTAGGCGGGACAACACGTCTCCTTGTTCATTGGCTTGGAGACTTTACTTCCACGCCTAAGTAAATGTAAATGTAAATGCGATAATCTTTCGCCGCTTACCGACGCCATCCCCTGTCCATGAGAATTTTATAGTCGTCCACGAGAAGACCACTGGAAGAGAGGTCTGTGAGTGATGAGAGTGATACAAGTGAAGGCGACTTACACCAATTTACTTTCGGAGAGGTGGTATCATCGCAGTATCGGCAGGAATCGGATGTCTGTACCCCTTCAAGTTCGATCAGTGAATAGGTGGGATTCGGATGCGGCTCCATGTTGAGAGAGGTAATATTTGCAAGAGTAGAAAAAGGCTCACGTTCAGCGCTTTAGTGGTTCAACTGGGCTGTTTTGAATTTTAAACATTTTTACGAATCGTGCTCGAGTGTACTCATTCACAACCGCCTTCGTGATTGGCGTATATCAAGAAGAGGTGAACTCCTGGTGGATTGATAACCACTCGAAGGTCAAGGTTGATCAACCACTACTCTACTCCGATTTGAAGCATAGTTAACCTTCCTTCTTCAGCAGTCAGCCACGTACTCCCTGGTAGCGCTGTTCACCT